TAAGTAGATTTTACCGTAATTTATTTCATTTATTATTTGACAAATTTTGTTGATTTGGGGTCACACCCACTTCACTGGGGCAAGATCATTCCTGTTGTATTCTGGGAATCTTGGATTTCCAGGCATCAAACTCGATTTTTCCCTATAACACACGTGTTCAGTCCATCAAACTCTTTCTCTGACTCTATTTGTTTCTCACTGTATGCTTTATTTGCATTCGTTTAATGAAATAATGAAACTTTGGTTTCATTGCTTGCAAAAACAAAAAAAGAGTTTGCAATTTGGATGCTTTGTCTCAGACTGGCCCTGCATTTTGAAAAATAGTTCAGATTTTTACAGTACATGCTTTATGTAACAGTTTATAAAGGAGCTATGTTATAAACCGACTCCATACTAAATGACTCTTGTTCAAATTGACTCTCTCTGGGAGCTCATTCAATCGAACTTAATGTCCAGGGATGGGAGACTGTGATATCGCTTTTCCATATATAATATGTCCCAAAGCAAACAATACTCTAGTTTTTCAAAGCACAAAATTGGATCTTTACCATCAAAAAAAAAAAAACGCTTGAGTCAGGTCAGGCTTTCTAGAACAGATTGTAAGACAAAAAATTATGTGAATATGATTTACTGAGGGAGTCCTCTGGGGAAGAAACCTGAAGAAAGACTAAGTATCAGGGGAAGGGACACCTTAACAAAGTCAAGACTAAATCTGGCTTTGATGAAGTCTGAGGAGACACTGGAATGTACATTGTATCTAAGGGATTTCCTACCTTCCAGGCTGGGGGATTGTGTAAGCAGAGAAAAATACTCTCAAGAAAGACATTTGTCAGTTAATAGATATTATTCACAGGAAGTACCAGCTAGCAGAAGGGATCTGGCTTGGGCAACAGCAGGGTCTTTGAGGAAACACTGTGTGGAATGTGCAGGATATGAATATATGAATGGCCTTAAAGAAAGTTCTGCAGCTATATCATTTTGAAACTTTTTTTTTTTAAGTTTCTCCCAACTTTCAGACTCAGGTAGGATTATTGAGTGGAAGAAGGTGGCAAGATTGTCATTAAGAAGCAATCCACAGAGTGGGAGTGGAGCAGATAGGGTTATAGACTTGTTAAGGTGGTGTGTCCCGTGTTCTTTTAGTTTCTTTCTGTGTTTGTGTGTGTGTGTTGGGAGAGGGGAGGGAGACGGGGAACCACTTCTGAGTATGTTCAGAGTTACTCCTGGCTCTGCAATCAGGAAGTACTCCTGACAGTTTTTAGGGGGCCATGCAAGGTGTCAGGGATTGACTCTGGGTTGGTTACAGGCAAAGCAAGTGACCTAGCTGCTGTACTATTGCTCTGCGCCTTGTTCTTTAGTTTTTCTTGAAGCTACCTTAATAACAGACCACAAACTTTTCGCTTAAACAAGTATGACTGACTCCTTCTGCACCCTGGAAATGGGTTGGCATCTCAACCTGAGATGTGTACGCTTGGCATTTTTTGCTTCTTGGAGAGGCCCATGTGCTCTCTTGACCACACACATCTCTCATTCTCTCCCCTCATATTTCTCTAGTGAATTTAAATAACTCCTTTTTACACACACACACACACACACACACACACACACACACACACACACACACCCCACACACACACCAGGTTTCTCAGGGTTCTGGAGACCAGAGTCCAACATGAAGAGAGAGCCGTGTATTTCTAGATTTTAAGGGAGGCGCCTTCGCCTCTAGGAATTCCTTGACTTGAAGCTGCCCCATTCCATTCAATGCATACTCTTCAGAGGGACCCTCTTATGTATGTGTTTAGTCTCTTGTATGGCCATTTGTCTGTTGAAGTAGCGGCACCCTGATAAGTTGAACTCATCTCAAAATATTTTGCTGTTGTTGATTAGTTTGGGGGTCATACCCAGTGGTACTCAGAAACTACTCTCTGCTTTGAGCTCTGGATTTTGCTCCTTGACATGTAGGGAGGACCTTGTGGTATGTAACTAGAATGAAACTTGGGGCTCCCTCACCCAAAGCATATACCCAGCCTATTCAGACATCCCTCTGGGCCCAAATTTCAAAAATCTCTAATGTGACTAGATCTTCAAAGATACTTTTATGCAATAAGCTTGTATTCTCAGATTTTTGGGGTTAAGGTGTGATATATAATTTAGGGGGGAGGCTAGACTAGGTCTTCATTTAAACCAATAGGTCACTACCAAACATTTTTCATAGAAAATGAAAAGGAGCACCAAATTTACGCTTCCGTAATGAATTATGACATGATGGTGCTGTATACCACACAAATACCGATAAAGGTAAAAAAGGTAAAGGCCCTCCCGTTGATCGTTGATTTGCTCGAGCGGGCCCAGTAACGTCTCCATTGGAGACTTTGTTGTTACTGTGTCTGGCATATCGAATACTCTCAGTAGCTTGCCAGGCTCTCCGAGAGGGGCGGAGGAATCGAACTCGGGTCGACCATGTTGGCCACATGTAAGGCGAACACCCTACCCGCTGTGCTATCGCTCCAGCCCTTAAATACCAACACCAATACCCTTAAATACCAATACCTTAAATACCAAAAAAAAAAAACCAAATACCGATGCCTCCTGCAAAAAGGCGGGCTGTCCTCCACAGACAGATAAGGAACTGGGGAGCCTCTTTGGCAAGGAGTTTTTCCTTCATTCAAAAAAATCAAGATACGATTAAAAGAAGTTGCTGAGTCACCAGTCCTGAAATTGCCCAAAGGCATGATGAAACATTTCTTTGAAATGCAAATACTCTTCAGGTGGAGATAATGAGGCACCCTGTGGAGGCAAGACCATCTCTGCAAAGAAGTTTCAAGAGAAACTAACAAAGACCATCAAAGATCCAAGTCCCTTCCCCTTGAAAAAGTCTTAGTAACAGACTCTTCCCAGGCACAGACAGAAGCCCTACTCTGAACATGATCCCAGCATGTCTTGTACTACCCTTCCCCAGGCTTACCTTTAAAATTAATGAAATGAGCTCACTCATTTCCTCCCCTACTTAAGGAAATTAAAAAGGGAAAGGGCTTCCACTTTCCCTGGAATCCTATTTGGAGACTCCCTCTCAGTCCAGGAGAGGCTTTCTGCCCCTTACCCTTCCTTTTATCCCTTTTCTTGTGTACACATGGTCACACACACTGTCCTCCCGTTGTTCATCGATTTGCTCGTGCGGGCCCAGTAACGTCTCCATTTTGAGACTTGTTGTTACTGTGTTTGGCATATTGAATACGTCATGGGTAGCTTGCCAGGCTTTGTCGTGCAGGCAAGATACTCTCGGTAGCTTGCCGAGATCTCCAAGAGGGGCAGAGGAATCGAACCCGGCTCGGCCGGGCTGGCTGTGCACAAGGCAAAGGCCGTACCACTGTGCTATCGCTCCAGCCTTCTTGTGAACAATCTCCTCAATTCAGGCACTTTCGTCTGGTCTCCTGCTATCAATTTAGGCTACTTGAAGGCCAGAACACACACTTAGTGCTCTGTAAGAAGAGAAGGAGTTAGCTTTCAGGAGTAAACCCACTTGTAGCCACCATTTACAGTACAAATTGGATGCTTTTCAATGTTCCAATTTCAAAGCATCTCCTTTCTGTGAAAAATAGGGACTACTCACCCTACAGCTACTCATCCTAACGACTCATTCTAACCTTTCAATGGAGGAAACTTGTGGAAACTCCAAGTCAATTTTTCTTTGCAGGAAAACTGCCCGCAATGATGCCAAGAAATGAAAATATTTTTTGTGGTTCATGTTATTATTAATTTGAGTGTGTGCTGAGAAAACCTTCTGATCAACGGTGGGTGAACACAGTGGATATTGGGGGAAAGTTATTTGAACATACTTAGCTATGAAGCTTGGAAACCAACTGGGCTTGTAATGAGAAACAGAAAAAACCAGTGATTCCAAGAGCCAGAGGCTGAGTGCAATGTTCAGATTACTGAAAGTGAGGGAATGGTAACTGTCTTTTTTCTTTTTCCATAGTGAAATTTCTTTGCTACCAGTTGAAGCCACTAAGTGTTGCATGTCATAGAAACTAAGCAAACTTGAGGAAAAATATAGAGCAATTTTATCTTTAGGGCATTGGTGTTTACTGATCTGAAAATATTTGCTTTTATCTTAGACCTATGACATTAGTAACAAAAGCGGGGTTGGAAGAACAATACTTGAAGAACTTCCTGTTAAATAGGATCAAGTGGGTGATTGTGGGACAAACTCATTGAAAAGTCCTCTTTGGGACTAGAGAGATGGTACAGAGGTTAAAGCACATCCCCTGCACATGGCCTGCTGTGTTTGGACCACCTGCACACAGAGAACCCCAATTATCACCACTGGAACATTCGGGACCCCCCAAACACTACCAGGCTGCCTGTCATCTCCAAGTAAGCTTAGCACTGCATCCTGTGGCCCTCACATAGAGCCACTGACCTGGTTGGCTGAGATTTCTCAGGAAAGACCCTTGGCTCTCCTGATCACCACTTAGGACCACCCCTGGATCCCTACCCCCACCCCATTCCTCCTTGCCCACCAAGAATATTCTAACTGTATGCTTGGGGGAAAGTTTAGGAAGAAGTAAGACTTTTCACCAGCAAGATTATATATTGACCTTTAGATTCCATTGCTTATGACTAATCTTGTCTAGAAATTACTTTTAAAGCACCGGCCTTTCAAAATATCCACAGATCTATTGCTACCATTTATACTGAAACCTTCAACAAGTAGATATAGCAGCAAATAACACCTGTGATTCAAAGTTATAAGAAAAGTATCCTCCAGGTTTAAAATTCTGGGTTTAAAAATAGTCACTGTATCAAAGGACTTTTGAAGACTATTGCAACTAAACTGTACCATAAATAAAAATAACCTTGACAAAAGCTCGAATTTGGCTGAGTTTTTAAATGGACTTTTATGTCAATTACAAGATAAAGGAATTTTTTTTCTCCTAAAACTGCCCCACAGAAAAGAATTTGACCATAAAAAAGACTATCTGGTCTATTTTAGTTCATCTTACCAGTAAAGACGATGGGCTATCTGGACACTCTGCAATGAGCGGTGTAATAGGAGTTGGACTAGAGGACCTTCAAGATTCCATTCAAACTTGACAGCCTGAAATAAGAAATGGCATCACTTATCTTTTTTTTCTTGGCAGCAAAATGACTATAGAGGCTTGAGAAAAAGGACAGGGAAGACAGCATTTTCACAAAATTTATATAATAAATTAGATAGGTTGATTGATGAATAATAAGAATATGCATACATCATACAATCTGGAGTAACTTAGTCTTGTTTCCATAATATTTAGTATCACAGGCTAATAAATAAGAGCAGGGTTGGTAGAGTTCAATTTTTCTTAGGAGGAGAACCGTGCACACATAAAATGATATCATGAACAGGAATAAAAATGTCATTATAAAGCAGTAGGTAACTTGTAGAGGTAAAACTAATGACCACATGTAACATTTCAACATGAATGTTGATAACATTTATCAACATTCACCTGCAGGTGATTGAAGCTTTACTCGGGTTTCAGCTGTTGCCATTCTAACCCATTCAGACACGAATCCTCTCCCTCATCTCTATGAACATCTATCTAAGGATTTCTAGAATGACCAAGAAAAACATGGTGGTGGAAACACAGGCAGCCGCTGACCAACTGAGGAACCGAATTTAGACATCTCCCTCCTCACACCCACCCCTCCAGTCCTACTTTCTAGTACTTTACTGTCAGCGGTCAGTACACAAGTGCCCATCCACATCCCAAGAATCTGAATGTGATAATGATTAACTAGGTTGTCTTCATAAAACACTCATCCCTGTTTCAGTGGCAAAACTTGTATAATATAGTTGCCCAAGAAACCATTTAAGTTCTACATGTACACACACATACACACACACACACACACACACACACACACACACACCCTTGAAAGAAACACCCCTTACTTTTTATGAAAAAAGCCATCTCTTTTAATTAAAATTATTTTATTTATTGATATTCTGCATTTTACAATACTGTTAATAATGGTTTTTCACGTACATAATTCCAATACCTGTCACCAGTGTACCTCCCTTCCTCCCCCAGGGTCTCATCTTAAAGGATGTAAAAGTTTGAATTTCTAAAATGTGAATATGCCAAAGGTGATTTCAACAAATTTGCATAAACTGTGTATGCTGTCTGAATGTATTAAGACTTTATTGCTTCTTGCCTTACCTGCACCTGCCGCCTGTCACTTGCTTGTGAATGTCCTAAGTCAGATGCCAATGACTGAGTGACTAGGTCAGAGGCTTTGATTTTAATCTACTGGTGGAACTGTCATATGAGTACATGAGCAAGAAAGAATTTGTCTCCATGTTTGACCTTTTAGCTTTCTGTGTAGCTTTCACTCTCATTTCTTCTTGATTCCAATAACTAAGTTTTTGAAATGCTTCCGTGACTTCCAAGTTCTGTATCAATCTACAACTTCCACCCTTCGTCCAGCCTCATCATCTAGAAAGAACAACTTCTCTATGCTTTTCAGACCATGAATTATTTCCTACTTATTTTCTTCTGTGACCCACCGTGCTACTCTTGTACTGCGGCACCGCATTTACACAATCTCGCCCTATGTCCCCTTTGGATTATCCTGCGAGACGTTTTTGAGAAATGCTGATCTATGATCTAAGCAAGGTTTCTGTTTCACATTGCATTATTCTGAACACTGTTCTTAGAACCTGTGTGCATGGTTTGTAAACCTGCGGTTTGCAGTAATTCTGGGTCTCTGTTTTATTTGATTCCTGTTTATAAACCACATCTTGCTTTATAAAGTCTATAGAGTCTTTTTTACAAATCTAATATGGTTTTGATTATTCCAACAAAAATTTGATAAAATAGCATATTTTCAGAAATTAACCGGATAAGTTTTTTTAAATATCTTGTTTAAGAGCTCATAACACAATTATCATTAAATAATTCAATTCATTTTTTCTCCTTTGGCATTTCCACTGCATTATTCTTTCCATTGCAGAAAATTTTATAATCATTTAAGCTTAAGGAATAATTGCAGTCAGTCCTGATTTGGTCTCTCTGTGATTAATAAGGAGTTTTTGAATACCTTTTCTTATGAATTTGGGTCCATGGGTATTTGGACTTTCAATCATATTCTTGATGCCAAGGGATATATTGGTGTTTCAAATGGTTTTAATCTATATAAACTATAAAGACTTGCTTTGGGAGCTGAGTTTTATATATAGGATGTTGCACACAGCCAGGAGTTATGCGATGAATAGTGTATCTGCCAGTTGGGCTAGTCATTTGTTTTACTACTTTATCCTAGGAGATCGAGGAAAGTCACACCTCTAAGGATTGGCAGATGTAACTATATGGTTAGCTATTTAAAATATTTAAAACCAGTTCTCACATTATAAGGTTTTCAGGTGCGCCTAGGGTAATAGGTTATTCAGATCCATTAATATAGCATTTCCTTTCCACTTCAGGCTCCTGTCTTCAACATTACAAAATATTGACACCTGGTACATAAAATAGATTGAAACTCTACCTGAGCTTTCAGATAAAAGCATACTTATGTTTAAAACACAAATAAACACTAAAAGACATAGACTACTTGGTCCAGGTTTGTAATACAGTGGGTACAGCACTTGCTTGAATGCTTCTGACCTCATTTCGGTCCCTGGCATCACAAATGTCCCCTGAGATCCAACAGGAGTGATCCCTGAGCACAGAGCCAGGGGTAAGCCCTGGACACTGCTGGATATGGTCTTCCCCCAATAAAAACCCTTAAAAAAAAAAGACCACCATATTAGGATTAATTAGTATCAATATATAAATCAAGTTGACAAAAATGACCTATTTCAGTTTGGACAGTCAATTATTTATACATATAAATCATATAACCATTCTTAAATTATTTCCTAAAATTACTCAAAATATTGTGATAATTGGTAACCGTACAAAATACTATGTAGGAGTAGAATTTAAAAGCTGCTTTATTATTTGATGTTAGAAATGACCTTTCTAGTGTTTATGACATCACAACAAGCAACAATCTAAGAGAAAGGCAAGTTACAGAAATTATTCGATTTCCTTCAAATCACTATTTTCTACACAACTGGCTATTTTTAAAGTTTTTTTCTGTATGTATTGCTTTGCATATGTAGTCAAATAAAAAAATGACACTTGATCACTTGATCACTTGACTTCCCGTTAATCATCGATTTGCTCGAGCGGGTGCCAGTAACGTCTCCATTTGTCCCTGTCATGTGCTAGTATGTACCAATGGCGTCTGTTCATTCTAGGCACATGAAGAGCTTCAAACCTTCATGTTCAGGATCTTGTTGAAGTCTGACCATCTTGTAGGTGGGAGACCACGCGGTCTTTTGACATCCCGTGGAATCTAGTCGGTAACAGCTCTAGTCCAGAAGTCGTCTCCAATTCTGTCCAGCCCATCTGATTTTCTTTCTCCCACTTGAGTGAAATGTGATACTCCAAGCATAGCTCTTTCAATTCCTCTTTGGGAGACCTGAATAGAGTTCTCACCCTGTTTTCGTAGGGACCAGGTCTCTGAGGCATATGTTAATGCAGGAAGAACAGTTGAATCAAAGAGATGTGCCGGGAATCGGAGCTTCTTTGTCCTCTTAGCTATTTCTTCAAAGCTCTTGAAGGTGTTCCAAGCCGCTCTCTTCCTCCTGCACAATTCAGGTGCCAGGTCATTCATCATGTTGACTTCTCAACCTCGGCACACATAACTGTTGCATTCGGAGATGGTCGTTCCGTTGAGAGCGAATGGAGTGTCAGGAACAAGGCTGTTTCTCATAAATATTGTCTTCATGAGATTCAGCTGTAGTCCAACCTTTCCATACTCATGGTTAAAGTTGGCCAGCATTTGTGCCACTTGGTTAATGTTTGGTGTTATTAGAACGATGTCATCAGCAAAGCAGAGGTGGTGTAGTTGCTGATTGTCTATCTTCACTCCCATTCCTTCCCATTCCAGTCTTCACATGACATTCTCGAGGTTAGAACTGAAGAGTTTCGGTGAAATGGTGTATCACCCCGCTGAATCCCTCTCTTGACATCAGACCATTTTCATATTTTCCCTATTCTAACTAATGTGTATAGCAGTTAAAAAATTCTTTTGTATTTTATATACCTTTCTTTAAACAGCACCAATCGTGGATAGAGAATGTACTCTTTACTGATGGCCAAATGCAATATTCTATTTAATCCATCATTGGCTCGTTGGTAATTTTAAAAAGACAACTGTTAAATAAAATCTTAGAAATTCTGTAGACCAGATCAACAGCACAGTGGGTAGGGCATTTTCCTTGCACGTGGCTTACCCAGCTTCATTGCCTGGCACCACATCTGCTCCCCTGAAACTCACTAAAAGTGATCCCTTCACATAGAGGTAGGAGTAAACCCTGAGCATCACTGGGTATGGCCCCCAAACAAAATAAACACAAAACAAAAATCCTGGAAATTCTTGGCAGCTGTGCTGCTCTTACCTGCACAAGTTGTGGGAGATATTCCAGTAGTTCATCATTCAAGAGCTTGTCTAGTTGTTGCACGGCCACTTTACGAATGTCTTGATCTGGAAAACTAATAAAAAATCAAGATGCCTATTAATCTGTTAACGGTAAGAAATTATGTGTGGGAAATGTCAGGCCAACAGAATGAATTACATGCCTGGTGTATAAAATAAAGTTATCACACAATTGATTAAGATGATCTTCGGCACCAAATAATTATTCTTCTGTCCTCTGTATCTGTTATATTCTATAGTAGGAAGGCTGTTCAATTATATTTTGGAAACTTAGGTAAGTCAGACCCCTACCTGCCAGATTTATCATCTATCAAGTGCACATAAGATATCTAAAATCGTTTCTAGAAAAGAATGAAAATATTTGTTTCTTATTTAGCTATGCATTTGTCAGGTAAATTATTACCAGTTGGAGGCCTCATGGTTTAATGGATTAAAAACAGGAAACACTACACTTTTGGTAAGATCATAATGAAAACCAGAAATCTAAGCATATTATAATAAATAAGCAAATATAATTCAATAAGGCTTAATGTCACTAGACTGTGAAGTTCTGGAGAGTAACTGTGCTTTATTCATTTGTGAACTGCACATATCTGCTATATAATTTAGCACCATAGAGACACAATAAATATTACTACTGGTTTCAATTTATAAAGGTATGTAGCATTTGAAGCCCAATACCAAAGACAATTTATCCTTAAGGTGACTCTCCAGGTTGCTATCATCTTGCTCCATCCAAGGAATTAATTTCAATTATCTCCATGCCTGGAGATCATCTGGACACCATACTGTCTTGATGAGACTAGATACAATCAGGGATATGGTTAGGAACAATTAATTTTAAGTAAACTATCAGAAAAAGATAAATATGCATAATTGAGAACTTGAAGGAACTACTGATAGTAACTCACTAGAAAACTAACTTAATTTTAAAAATATAAATGAATGAAAATATAAATGAACAAAAACCTTGGGTTTGGCGTGATAGTGTAGAGCATTTGCCTAGCAAGCAATTGACCCAGGTCGATCCCTAGCATCCCAAATGCTATTCCACGCACCATCAGGAGTAATTCTTGAGTGCAGAGCCAGGAACAACTCCTGAGCATCACTGGGTGTGAACCAATAAGCAATATATATATATGTATATATATACATATATATATATAATCTATGAAAATCCCTTTGGGTGGGAATAACTGAGCTTTGCAGCTTGTCAGCAGGGAATTAAGGTTGAAGGGAAGACTTGCTTCCAATACTGCACTCAGAAAACTAGACAGTCTTTAATGAGTGGCTTCTTTTTAGTCTGTCATATGACTGAACCGAATATTACTCAGTATCTCTCAACTGGCCCTGGCCCTTTGAAATACAATGCTCAAACAGGTTACATAATTTTCTTTGTTCCAAATCTAGTCATTAACAAAGTCATTATTTCTGAATCCATCAAGTACTTTTGCAATAACTTTTCCCTTTGAACGTCTAAAGCTATGAAACCCAGAGAGAGCCATAATCTAGAGACACATCTCATGAAGTACTGCTAAGGTCAAAAGACTTCAACATAGCATCCAGCACAGATGGAGAGCAGAAAGAGCACAATAAAATGTGCAGCCAGAAGAAAGCCAGCTTGTTTTAGCACATGATGACTTTATTTTCTCCAAACTAAATGTGATAGACTCTAATTTATTGCCCTCAATTACTGTGTCATTTGTCTAAGTGTATTGACATCAAGGTCATTTTGAGGACAGTTTGAAGTCCTAGAGGGAATAGTTACTTGGTGCAATTTGTTGCTTAAGTGATGATTTTACTAGTCTGCCTAGGAGTTCTTGAGTGCCTATTTTTATCTTACCAAAATGATCATGAAAAAAAACTAAAGGCTAGAAAACAAACATGAGAAAACATAAAAGTCTTTATAGAATACTGTTTATTTTTTATTTGCTTTCAAATATTGAATGCACATTCCATGAAAGCTGTACTTTTGGGGGGATCTGATTTGTTCATGGCTGCATCCCCATTGTCTGCTTATTTGTTTAAAAGAGTGTCCAAACTGAGTTCATGATCCTTTTACCTAAAGCATCTCTACTGCATACTTTCTCCTTATAGTCCATATTATCTTTCTCTGGTCACATAGGAGTGAACTTTCAAGAGTTCTAGTTTGCCCACTTTGAGGTACTTTTTATTAAATACTTCCCCCTTTAATTAATAATTAGATTATAAATTAACAGAATTAATTAACTAACTCATCTTAATCCCCTTAAAGTGAATTAACTATATTATATTCACCTTCTAAATAAAAACTCAAATCATCAATTTAGCTGGGAAGCTATTTCCACCATATTCTAGCCTTGTGTATAGGTTCTCATATCTCTCCCAATGGAATTCTGTATTCGTGTTTGATTAAGGGAAGGCTTATTCATTTATTACTCTCTCAGATAAATAGCTACATACAAATTGTAAGAATCCTAAGTAGTTTTTAACATATTTATTGAAACCAAATTAAAAAATATTAGGTCGCCATAATTAATATAGTTGAATGTCAGGTGTACAATATTCCTACACGAATCCCACCACCAGTATTAACTTCTCTTCCCCAGTTTTATCCCATTCCCCAGCTCTCCTCCTTGACAGATTTCTAAACCTTCTATGTGAAAGTTTTATTGGTGCAAAAATGTTTTTCTAAACATTTATTCAACAAATTATTCATCTAGACTTGAATAATAAATTCATTGTCGATAACAGTAAGGAACTCAAATCAGATGACCTTTAAGAATGAACATCATTGTGTGAAAAACAAGCATTATATTTTTGAATTGACCTGGAATATTCTTTTCACATAAAGCCCAAGTAGGTCTCCCTGCCTCTGGGGAATTTTGCTTAATACCTTTTCAAGGCCTTGAACTCAGGCATAGATCAATGGACAAATATGTTCCACACACCCTGGCATTTCTACCCTGTGATGTTGTCTGAAACTATTTAAACATTCTTTTGGCATATAGTTGTTGGCATTTCATGCCCAGTAACTTGTTCCTCAATGAGGTGAGGGCTACTCATATTAGTTCTCTGACTCTGGTGTGATATTTACAGACTGAAATGTCATATGTAACAGAAAAAAATGCAATCTATTTTGAATTTTCTTAGCCAGGTTATTGTTCTTTGCAGTTACCTCATTGCCCAAAAAATATGTATAATTATTGTAAATAAAAGACCAGGAGAAAAATCCATAAGAGAATCTGCTAACATTCAAACTAGTAATTACTATAGGAATGAAAATTACACCTTGAGTTCGGGGGAAAGAACCAAGGGTTTCTTTAGAAGATATTCATACTGATATCAATTAGGTCTTCACTTATTTACATTGGTCAAAACATTGCTTATAATCAGTTACAAAATAGATGATTTACAATGCAAAACATTACAGAAATTTGTTTTCAGATATTAAAAAAGAAATAAAGTCAGTAAAGTTTTATTATTTGTCGTGGGAAATAATGTTTTAATTAGACATAAGAAGAGTCTGTGTTAAATAACCATGTTTTGTTTTATTTTGTTTAGGGCCACACCCAGCAGTGCACAGGACTTACTCTTGGGTCTGAGTTTAGGGATTAATCCTGGCAAGCTGAGCTTGAGGATCACATGGGGTGCGAGGTTTGAACCTGGGTGTGCTGCGTGCATTACCCACTGTACTACTGTTCCAACCCCAATAACCACCTTTAGAAAGTTGTTTATTCCTTTTTAAATGCTCAAGTGCCCTTCCCACATCCATTATAAGCTTAGTTCTGTTGACAAAATCTCCAGTTCTGATATCTTTAGCTATTTATTGTCTTCTTACTATGTTCCTTTATATTCCATATATAAGAGAGAGATTTTTCATTTGATTGCAGAGTTGGTGAAACTATGCACATAGAGATGAATAAAACTAAACTTCTGAAAGTTCATAAAATTGAAAATCCACAGAAAATTGATAATTTTTTCAAAAATGGTCTATTTTTTGCAATTATTGGAGCGATAGCACAGCGGGTAGGGCGTTCGCCTTACAAGTGGCCAACATGGCCGACCAGAGTTCGATTCCTCCGCCCCTCTCGGAGAGCCCGACAAGCTACCGAGAGTATTCGATATGCCAGACACAGTAACAACAAAGTCTCCAATGGACAGTTACTGGGCCCGCTCGAGCAAATCGACGATCAACGGGAGGGCCTTTACTTTACTTTACTTTACTTAATATTAAAATTAATAGTATGAATAATTCTATTCTAATGCACTTTGAAAATTTACATGAAATAGATCAGTCCTATAAATATAAAATTTAATAAAAGAGAGAAGAGGATAATTAAAAGAAAATTTAAAGGAAAATCTAAATAGGCCTTCAATAGCATAAAAGTGTATTTTCATCCTAAAAAGTTAATATTGACTTTATGTTAGGAAATATTGTATTATAGATAATGCTTAAGCATATAAATTAATAAGTAAAATGTTTAATTAAAAATCTCTGTAGATGTAAAAAATCAAAATAGACATGGAAACAATAATCTATGAATGAATAATTAAATACTGAAAAGTTTAAAACCCTTAGCAAGTTAGGAATAAGCAGATCATTCTTGATCTAATAGGAGACAACTACAAGCACCATGAGTTAGTGCTGGCAAGTGTGTCTTGCCTTTTGAAGAATCTCCTTTAACCTGGCAAATCTGGTTTCAGGTTATGAATTACCTAAGCTGTTGACTGTCCATGAAACTTTGTATTGTTACTTCAGATTTGAATGATAACCTATTGAGAGAGACTATACTTGGTGGGGTGTTCAATTCATTGAGGGTTTTTTTTTTATATTATATCACACCATTTTCTTCTGCTCTATGGAGACTCATTTGATAGATCTCCTGTGAACCTATGGGCTTTCCTTTGTATGTAAATTTCTTTTCTATCTTGCTGCCATCAGTAGTCTGTCTCTGTCTTTGCCTTACGTCATTCTGAGTACAACGTGCCTCCCAGTATTTTTTTTTTTAATTTGGTTCTATTTTCACTGGATCCCCTTGGTTCTTTTGGATTTGGACTCCTCAACCCAATCATT